TTCCACTAGCATTCAAACGTTTGGGGTCAGTAAGATTTTATTATGTTTTTGAAAGAAGTCTGTTAAATGGCAACATGTATTCGATTATTACTAAAGTTGCAAAATAGGCTCACCTAAGTTAACTTATCAGCGGTTTTTGCCGCCCACACTGTGCACACACCCTCTGCACCTGTGTGTATGAGTAATGCGCAGCTGGAAGCCAGAAAAGACATAATGCAGCAAGATGACACAGGCTCATATTGCACATACCAATCATTAGTACGCACACAAAAATGTGAAACTGTTTAAAGTTTTGGTACATTTCCCACTGACCTGGGAACAGTTTCTCTTTTTCCCTTATTCTTGCACACATATCGGTTCTAAATCGGTGCAGCCGAGAAGTTTGATCTATAGTAGATTATTATGTCCTGGTTTAAGATCTGAGGTTTAAGGGAAATATTGGTTAGTTTCTGCAGAACTAGGGCTGGTCAGAAAGTGTTTGAGGGTCATGGTGGTGGGTTAGTGTGTGTATTTTGAGAGTGTATTGGAAGTACACAGCGTAAATAAATATTTGATGACTGTGTCACCTCTGCTCTAAGTCCTGGGCGGTACAGGCCAGATCATCATCTGACCTTCACACACTCGGATGAATTATTCAAAATAAAATTGTCAATCATTCTGTCCGTTCCATGTGGAATAGAGAACAGAGAACTGTTTGTGTGTTTTCAAAAGCATCTAAACTCAAGAACGAGCAAAAATGGGCGGACTACTGAACCCATTCAAGAAAGCACACAATCAGTCTGACAATATTGTGACAATCACCTTAAAGTCTACAATTTTGCTCAAAAGCCATCCATTAGCATTCACACTCATTTCAATGGCTACATTTAAATGTCAAATGTCATGAACTGTCCGGTCTGCCTGTTGAGCTGAGTTCACCTGAGACACCAGGGGTAAACTCTTATAACGCCTGATCAAACAAAAGCGAATAAAGTATAATTGAACATTTCCATTGGGTATAGGCTAAGCTAGTAGGCTAATTGCCAAGTGGTATGCTAAGCTAACATGTTGAATGGTTAGCTTGCAACACCTATAGCTAACTAAAAATTAAAAAATGTTGAATTAACATTGTTGTTAGATATTTTATGTAAAAAATGTAAAAGACAGTAATGGTCACAATTTCTAATCAGGCACTGAACCGATTAATCCTTCACACGTAAATTTAAAACATTCTAACGTGAAGCGACTGTTATTTTAGAACATATCACATTTCTATTTTCATAACGACACTTTAAGCTTGTCACGTGACACTTTGCATCCACAGTAGCTTATGACTGACATATCAGTTTTATTTCTTTTTTTTTAAATATTTACAAACTTCTTAACAACATTGTGAAATATTTAATATTCTGATTGTCAATATTTGTGAGTAAATGTATTTTGCGTTTTAAATACTTTTAAAATGATCATGTTAGTGGTCAAGTTTGAAAGGTTATTTTATAGATTATTATGGATTATTAAACTATAAATGTTTTTGCTAGCACTTATACTACTGCTCAAGTTTTAGATCAGCAAGATTGTAATTAATATAAATGAATATTAGAAATGAATTATTTTACTCAGCAAGTATTTTATTGATCAGAAGTGACAGTAAAGACATTTAGAATGTTACAAAAGATTTCAAATAAATGCTGTTCTTTTGAACTTTCTATTTATCGAAGAATCCTGAAAAAGTATCATGGCTTCCACAAAAATATTTGTAACTGTTTTCACCATTGATAATAATAAGAAATGTTTCTTGAGCACAAAATCAGCATATTAGAATAATTTCTGAACGAACATTTGACACTGACGACTAGAGTAAATTCAGCTTTGCCATCACAAAATAGAAAACAGTTATTTAAAATTGTAATAAAATGTAATAATATTACAGTTTCTATTGTATTTTTAATCCAATAAATGCAGCCTTAGTGAGTATAAGAGACTTGTTTAAAAAATATAAAAAATGCTTACTGACCCCAAAGCTTTTGAATGGTTGTCTGTGTAAATCCAAAACATAAACATTATGTGGTTTAAAGGTGCCATACAATGCATTGATACAATATTTTACATTGTTCTCTGATATCTACATGTGGCTTAGGTAAGGGCAAAAAAAATCTCCAGAAACGGTTTTACATGTCCATTTACAACCAACCCTAGGATTTGCCCCTAGAATTAAATGGTCTGTTTTTACCTTATTTGGAAGGGTCATGCTGAATGCACGAGATTTACATAAGAAGGAGGAAACAATGGTGTTTAAGGCTCACGGTATGTCATTTCCATGTACAGAACTGTTATTATTCAACTATGCCAAGGTAAATACAGTTTTCCATTCTATGGCACCTTTTTAAAGCACAGCAGTTGTGATATATGATGAGCACCGGGCTAGTCTATCTCTGGCTCAGTTACAGATTTGAATTTAGCAGTTGATCATGTCATGCACTGAACGCGTCAGCTTCATCATACTAAGACCAGGTCTTTGATGCTCCAGACCCACATATTGAACCGATTGGTGCTCTGTAAGTTTGTTTGGGTGGACCCTTTGATTAGAGCACTGAGTTCTTAAAGGCCTCTGTATTGATAGATTTAATGGCTGTGATTGTGTGTGTGTGTGAGAGAGAGAGAATCAGAGAAGCGAGACAGCAGTAAGTTGAAGTCCAGTAGTCAGCTCTTCCTGTGTCCTATGTGAGTATTACATGGGCCCTTACAGTGGTCTGCCGTAACCTTCTCACATGGAGGTGTCACATACGATACTTCCTAACACCCAGAGCCAAACATCATCTGATCACTCTCTCTCTCCCCCATCCTCCCTCTCTATGTATCTTTCTCTCTTTGCTTTTGATGAATGATGGACCCTTCTCCCCCTCTCTCCCTTCTCCTCTTCCACCTGATTGGCATTTTTCTTATTAGATCAGCTAGAACAAAGTATTCAGTGCCAGTCATGGGTCCCAAATGGCATCAGTTTGTGTTTGCTGTTCTTTTTCATAACCATCTTGTGTAATGATACACAAAGACAAAGGCTATGATATCCCACAGTCATGGGCTTGCATTTCGGAGGTTGCTGAAAATAACAAAAATGGTGTCTGAAAGCGATTGAACTGAGTCGGTTTATAAATGTGAACGACTTCAGATTTTTTAAAGTCGACATTTATGTGATGAAATTCGAGTCGATGTTGACTAGTCGCTGATGACGTCATTAATGAACAAATAAGCCCGATCCTTGAGCTGGGACTTGAACACGCCTGAGGACCGAGCGTCTGTCTAATATCAACGAATCACGTCTCTGCATTTCTATCTTATGACAGCCCATCAGATTTCGCCATTTCCATTTTATGCATTTTATGACAGCCAATCACCAATCACCGTGGCCCTTTTCTATCCTGAAGCGGGGATGCAGGAGCATGCGCGTTAAGTCCGCCTCCCATCGCTCACAGCGAGTTATTTTAATATATTTTTGTGAGTTATTTTGGCAAAAAAAGCTGCCGTTAAGTCAGTCTTTGAATTTAGCGTCTTGGGAATTTAATCCACCCAGGTAAGATTCCTCAATTTAACTAGCTATCTAAAACTAAGAAAACCCCTATAGGAGTTAACGTAGTTTTTAAAAATAAACTTTTACATTGTTTTAGGTAAGGTGTTGTTTTATTTAGTTCGCTAGCTAGCTATGAATGAATGAATTAATTAATTAACGGAGCTACTTGAAACGAATTTTCAACAGAGAAACAAACGATTTACATTGATATAATTACTAATCTATAATGTTGGTATACCGTTGGAGCAATACCTGATATTGTGTTCGCTTTTAACACCCAAAATGAATGAGTTTTGTGTTGTATTCAGGTGTTGCACCTGTTATAACAGGAGACTTTGTGTTTACCAACTGCACTGTAAAAAGTGATAAGTTGACTTAACCTAAAAAAAATTGAAGAAACCCGTTGTAAATAATAATAAAAAATAAGTTGTGAACTTCACAGTTCACTTAACTTATTTTTTTTAATTATTATTTACTTCATAATTTTAAGGCAACAGGTTTCCTCAATTTTTTTAAGTTAAGTCAACATCACTTTTTACAGTGTGATAATAAACTTAATATGATTGTACTAAATTACTTCTATATATTCTACTACTATACTACTATGCATTAATATATTATACACTGAGGTGAAATGTAATAGAATTTGCTGATTTACAAATGCTATCTATGTACAGGATTTTTATAGTAGTGAGTTAAAACTACCCACGTATATGGTTATACCATGTACTGAATAGTTACAAATTTAAATTTAATAGTTACAATTTTATTTACTCTAGTAATGGAAGATGGCTTCCAAACACAAAAACTGTTTTTAAAAGAGTATTATATTTTCCAGATTGGGCATGCTTGTCCCTGCTCTGCTGCTGCTAGTCCCTCTTCACTGCCATCACCCATCACCCCTGCAGCAGCACCACAACAACAACTGGCAAGTCTTTTGTGACATGTTGGATCAGTGGTGTTATTGTCTTGCTTGTAATTGTATTATTTTGATGTTTATTTCATTAGTATTATTTTTTATTATTAAATTTAACAGGTTGCAAATGAGCAGACCACTGCACCCTCTGGCCCAACAGCTGTCCCCACCAGCCTAGCCTCTGCTCCTCCTTACATTTCCATCGTCTCAGCCTCTCTTGCCACTACTCCAACTACAGGTCCCTCTGGGCCACCTGCCATGACTCCTGCAGCACCACAGCAACAGCTGGTAGGTCTTTTGTGACATGTAAACAGTGTGAAAGATGTGCTATTTTTCTGCCTGTGATATTGTTTTTATTTTATTTTTATATATTCATATATTTGCCAGGCTGTGGATGAGCGCAATATCCCAGGGATGGACAGAGTGGACAGCCTGGCACAGTACTTGGTGGGACTGAGGAATGAAACTGGACAAACACTTAACTCCCAGCAGGCCAGTACCGTCATAGCTCTGTGGCAGAACCTTCTACCATATGACCAGCAGCGTGTGGCGTACTCTGCACGGCACCAGTCGCGTCTGACAACAGGACGCTTCAGGTGCTCTAAAAAGAAACCTGAATTTACGCCAGGTGTGGAGAGCATGACACGTTGCGTCCTAGGATCTACAGGATCCCCTGCCCAGTGGCCAGATTGCTGTCGTCTGGTAGAGTGCATTTTTGTAAAACTCTGTGACATCCATAAAAGTCCAAAAAAACAGGGTAAATATGCACTGACTAGATGGACTCTAATTCTCAGAGACTACAGCAAGATCAGACAGCTGGTCCTGGGTAATGGTGCAGTCATGCAGAGCTCTACTCTGCAGTTGTTTGATGTTAATCAAACAACTCTTATTCAGTGGCACAACAAGCGACTGAAGAGGCAGGAATGTAATATTCTGCTGCAAGGGGTCAACTTGCCTGCCTCCATTCCTGTTGCTCCTGTACCTCTCCCACCAGTACAGGTACGCCCCACTGCTGCACCACCACGGCCTGGCCCTCAACATCACTACCACTTGCCTCAAAGTACAGCAGGACAAGCAGTGGACAAGAGGAAGACTGCAGCTCCGGCCCAACACACCCATTCTCTGCAGTCTGCCTGCCCAAGGTTGCCAGCTCAGAGGCTATTGTTCCCTCAGCAGACATCTCCACCTACCCCTGCCCCTTTGCCTACTGTTTCCAGCCCCAGCCCTGCCAGTGGCCCACTTGTGTATGTGTTTTTGGCCCCACAAGTCAATGCATACAAACGGATTGCTCCTGCTGGCCCCCTTTCCTCCCCACCACCTGCCCGGAGGCCTTACAATCGGAAAGTTGACAAAAATAAATGTAGTCAGTGCCAACAGCCGCGGAACAAAGAAAGTGGCCACAGCCAGTATTATGGGTACATACTGTATACTGTCCCCAAAATGCTGGTATTCCACTTGACCAGTGGATGGAGGAGATGCGGAAGAAGAGGACAGATAAGAAATAGATTGGTTTGTCTTTGTCTCATACGGTGTAGATGTGTAGTGGAAATACTTTAGTCATGTTCTATTAGTTCGTTGATGTAACTGTTCAATATTCATCCCATATAACAGGTCTGGCATTTAAAAAAATCAACATAACAGAAATAACACACTGTATATTACTGTTTTTTGTGTGAGCCTTGCAAGGTGTGTTGATTTTGTTATTTGTATACTTTTTACCAGCTGACCAGAATCTTCTACTTTTATTACTTTTTGTATTTTGTTTATTTATTTATTTTGTTTATTTATTTATTTTATATTTGTATTTTATATATAATTATTCAATTTCTTTGTATCTGTGATATGCTTACTGTGTGTGAGAGAGAGCGAGAGAAAGAGATAATTAAGATGTATGTTTTGTAATAAATTTGTAATATATTTAAACAGCAAGGCCGTTATCTTTATTTATTTAACAGTCACTCAGAGAAAACAATTACAAACTTTCAATTCTAATTCCTTTCATTTTTAAATTATTAATTGAAGTATATAAAGTATTAATGAATTGGGTATTTTTTCTCAAGCAATGTAAAACACATACATACATACATACAAACAATACATATGAATACTTTTTATAAATTTTTGTCAAAACAAAACATACATGTGTAGGTGTCCGCTAGTGCAACTAATTGATAGAAATGTTTCTTGCATTGCTATGTAAATTAGGTGCAACACCTGAATACAACACAAAACTCATTAATTCTGGGTATTAAAAGCGAACACAATATCAGGTATTGCTCCAACGGTATACCAACGTTATAGACTACTAATTATAACAATGTACATCGTTTGTTTCTCTGTCGAAAATACGTTTCAACTAGCTCCATTAATTAATTCATTAATTCATAGCTAGCTAGCGAACTAAATAAAACAACACCTTACCTAAAACAATGTAAAAGTTTATTTTTAAAAAACTACGTTAACTCCTATAGGGGTTTTCTTAGTTTTAGATAGCTAGTTAAATTGAGGAATCTTACCTGGGTGGATTAAATTCCCAAGACGCTAAATTCAAAGACTGACTTAACGGCAGCTTTTTTTGCCAAAATAACTCACAAAAATATATTAAAATAACTCGCTGTGAGCGATGGGAGGCAGACTTAATGCGCATGCTCCTGCATCCCCGCTTCAGGATAGAAAAGGGCCACGGTTATTGGCTGTCATAAAATGCATAAAATGGAAATGGCAAAATATGATGGGCTTGTCATAAGATAGAAATGCAGAGACGTGATTCATTGATATTAGACAGACGCTCGGTCCTCAGTCGGGAGCTTGAGGCCATTAGCCTTTATGCTTGCTAAGCTATCTTCCCTACGATCATCTGGGGAGGTAGTTTGTTTTGGCCTCTGCATTCTTCTGCTTCTCTTAAGTAGAAAGACAGTGTAGAGGGCCGCAGGTCTCGCAAAGTTTCAATTGGAAATTTGCTTTAACAGGGAAGGGAAACTTTAAGGCTACATAAGGCTAGCTGGCTCTAAGTACAGCACTGTAGTCTTTGTCAGGGATAAAGGACACTGTCCAAACAAGAGGGAATTAATCAGATTGTTTGTATGCTTTTGACAAGATTCTACCCTCTCCGGTGTCTGGACCTATCTTTGCTGTTACAGTGTGTTGCAATATTTTCCTCTATATATTGTATATCTAGAGCTGTTTTCCCTATAACTAAGCAGACTTTACATACAAAAAAAGAATAGTTAAGGAATGGAAAAATTTAATATTTTCAATAGTCACTTCAAAATGAGAATCATTTTAAAATTAGTTATATTTGAATTATATCATTTACATCGAAAAAAGCCATTTTTATCTTTGTGTGGTCTCAAGGCTCATTCACAACTAAAGCGAAATAAAAAGCCAAAATGAATTACTAAATAGTCTACTGACACCACAAGCGAAACAAATATTATTCATGATAAATAAGCACAAATTTACTCTAGTACAATAGGAGGTGCTGATCGACAACCAAATTCATGCCAGAGCCAAAGACTGCTTTACAAAGAAAGTTGGCATGATCTGGAAATTGCAACTTTTCTTCCCTAATGAGACATATGTCTGAGTTAAATGGCTTCTTAAACGAGATGTTAATATTTTTTTATTAAAGATTACCAAGGCACATTAATATCAATGTGTATGGATAAATCATTTACTATAAACACTGCAAATTGTCAATTTTGAATTAAAGGTGACTTTAATTAAAGGCCTTAATATACTTACCACAAAGTTCTTTTGTGTTCTTTGCTCAGGGGTAAAAATAAGTTTGAAATACCTTTGCAGCGGTATACTGTTAGCAGTTGATGCTGCATTTAGATGAATATATCAATATGTGCTTCGTGCTTTTCTCTCAATAACAAAGTAAACACACAACAAAACGTCAGCATAACAATCTGAATATGGTAAAGTTCAAAAGTGTTTACTAGCTAGAGCAAACATTTCTGGAAAGTTTGCAATCTATTTCAAACTCCCGAAACGACCTTAGTTTTGGCCTGATTTGGCTCAAAATTACTTCACACCAGTTTGTTGGGTAAACTTTGGTTAAGTGTAATTTATACATAAAGTTTACAGGATGGTGTTTTAGAGTGAAATCCAGTAACTCTCAGCTCACATGTGTCATTTGTGAACTTGTCGTACTGTTTTGATTCACAAAGAAGATTATGAAAGAAAATGAATTTGGTTCATGTTGCATACGCAGCCAATGAACTTGCTGCTTTACATTTAAATGGCTGGTTAGCATTCACTATAGAGCAGTTTGCAGTGCGCTTTCAGAGTTCCTCTGAAACCCTCCACCTCCCCAGCTCCACCTGTATAGATCTGCTACAGGTTATTATATATGCTATTTGTGAAGCAGCAGTATGTCTTAAATACTTACAGCAGCGTATCGGTGTATGTATTGGCAGTAGCAAGTTCCTGTACTTGCTTTGCAGCAGCAGCAATAATCTACAACAACAGCAATAACCAACAGCAGCAGCAATTCAGCAGCAGCATAGCAGATCTATTCCGCCAAGACCAGAAACATTAACATTGTCAAAACCATGCTAAAATCTTCTGAGAGTTGTCAAGATAGAATTGTATTTGTTGATGTTACTTAATAAAAAAATAATGTATTAGTTAAATATTGAAATTAAAATGTATAGGTGCTGTAGAAGTATCTTTCATCGTTAGTTCATGTTAGCTAATGTAGTTAACTAATGTTAATGGTTCCATTATGGAAGCTTATTGTAAAGTGTTACAGAGTTATTTGTTACATATATGATTGTATACAAAGACGTTTCTTAACATAATTTCACGGTACACAGTCTTTTAATTCATTCTAAGAAAAACATTTAAGATTTGGGTAAATAATACCAGGGCAATTGCAGAATATGCAAAAAAATTCTCTGTGGGACTGCGTAATTGCTTTCTTCATGTAACTGTCCCTGTTTACTTTCTCCTTATTTTTCTCTGGTCTCTCTTCCAGCTGATATCACAAGCAATTGAAGGCCTGTAAAAACGAGCCTGCCCAATGGCTCATTCTCTCCCTTCTCCTCTCTGATGAGAGCCTGGAAAAAAAAAATAGCTGACTGTATTTGCCTTCTGCGTTCTGCCAAGATCCACCTCACTCACAGGCCCGTCTGCTGCACCTTAGGGGTTTCAAATTCCTGCGAGCTAGGGATGAAACACTCATTTCACAATTAAACTGACCCGTCCCTATTAGCTCAAGCCCCCCGGGGGATCATTTTCCACAAGGTGGTGACAAATTGCTCTTTTGAACTGAAGCCTGGGCTGTTATGGATGCCACATAGACTTTGTTTATCAATCTGCGCATACTAATAGAGGTCTGAATGGAGTGGGATTTAGTTGGGAATGTGGAGCCACTAAGAGCAGCTGATAGTGTTGCTTGTATGTCACTGAGAGAGACGACTTCTATTTATTTGAATCTGTCTTTACTATTTTTTGTGTTGAATACCTTTGAGATGGTAGTATCCTTTACTAGAGCTTGTGGCTAAAATGATGACATGAAATATCCATTGTTATGTTTAAGGAATGTGTGCTAAGTACTACAGATGGTGGACTTTTCTCCATATGTGCCCCGTACAAGGACTCTAAAGCCTCGCCGGACCCTTGGGATCTATCTGTCACTCCAACATGGCACTTTTGGTTTATCATGTTTTTTTCTGGTATGAAATCGGATCCAGGATTAAAATGAGCTCCAGCTAAAGCTCTTATATGCTGACAATGTTTAAAAAGGCATTTTTAGGGAAGCCAGCTGAACGACTGGTCTGAATGATAATCATTGGAATGAAAATTTATTTCAAAGCTTGGGTAGATCATGTAATCTGTGTTGATGTTGTTTAGCAAGATGCTTTTCATCCATTTTCAAGGATAGTCCCACTGGAACAACCATGTGTTGAGCGTCATAGTGATGATACAGCAGGATTGTAATGTCAGTAAACCTGCAGTTCCTGGGACTAATCTATGGGTTAATGTTATGTAACCAACACCCCCTGATGCTTAGGGTGGTTGGGTTTCCAGGTGTGGGGTTCAGTGGAGAGATTTGGCCTACATTTGCAGTGGTCTGAGACTGTGCGGGGGGCAGATCTGTGGAACAGGAAGTGCAGCAGACACCTGTGATTCTTATTTCTGATTCCATCGGCACAGCAAGACTGGAACAAAATCCTGAAACACAAACAGACGGTTCATGCATGCAGCACCTCACCTGGTCCCTGTCTGACCTGGAGATTTGAGCCCTTGTGCCAGCTAAACCTTTACTGACCACTGTATGCTCACAGACCCACATAATCCAAACCACAGACAGAAGTCATAAATTCCCCCCCTCCACTAAAGCGTTCCCTCTATGCACAGTTGCGACGGCAACCCGTAGGTCTTTTCCAGATGTTTTGGAGGCCCTAGCTTAGCGAAGTCCCTCTGTGCTGCTTTCCTGCTGTGCACTCACAAACAACTTCTGGGTTAGTGCCCCCCTTAACACCCACCTGCTGCCCCCTAGAGCCACGTGCACAGACCGGGGAGAACCATCATCACTAATTTTGAGAATAGGTGGATGTGGGTTTAAGTATTGGGTTGTACGTTAAGGGAAGTCTTGAATAGCCATGGCTTCTTGTCAGTGAGTGCTGTACAGGGAGTTCATTGGGACAAATCCGTGGTCCAGGTTTCATGACGATGGATATCAAGTTACTGCAATGCATTAATTTACACACCAAGGGAATTGTAGCCAGTCTTTTTGGTGTTTATCTATTTAAGTCAGGGTTGTGTGAAACTCAGTATGTAAGAATAGACTCCCTTTGATTCATGAGTAAGTTGAATTGGAATAACAAGAATAGAATATATCTGGCTTTGTCTGTCTGTCTGTCATCCATATTTTGAGGCATTTTAAATATTTTTTTTAAATCTCAAATTCAATTTATTTGAGTAACTTTATTTGGGCTGAGTGATTGGGAAAAAAAGTCATGAATAATGCATTAAAGTCATAGATAATGCAGCATTCTTCATAGATCTCATACTCGATGTACGGCATAACACAATTACAGCACACAGAAATCCAAGGATATGGTTTATGTGAACATATCTGATCATATCTTATCTGATATATACAGAACTGGGTAAATTACTTGAAAATTGTAGTCCATTACTGACTCCAAATTACATGACAAAAATTGTAGTTAGTAACGTAATCCATTACATTACACATTTTAG